ATAGCTGAAGAAGCTTCTTGGATGAAAAGCAAAACGTTTTCCATGCCTCACCATCCAGTCAGAGCTAAAGAAGCTTCTTGGATGAGAAGCAAAATGGCTTCAAAGAAAAACCAGAAAGTCCAGTTGCCTTTTGAAAAAGCACTTTTGGGACAACCATGACCTGGATGACTGAGAATCTCCAGAGACATGCAAAATGGAAGTTTTCAGCGTGTGCGTGTGAAGAATCCTAATCACGGGAGTCTAGTTTCAGTCCATATTAAGGAAGAAAGCTTTGTAACAGAAAGATTTGTTTAGGGAAATGTATGAGAGGGATAAAAGTAAGTGAAGCTTAGGACCTAGCTAACTCCATCCTATCAGGAGGTGAGATTATCCATCTCATAAAACTGATACAGGCAGAGTTACAAAGGAAATCCTAAATTCTCTTTCTACACCCCATTCTCGGAGTTGAAGTCCAAACAAATTGCCACGGTTGAGAAACACGGCATGTAGGAAATGTCACAATCTATTCTTGAAGCCCATCTCACCCCCTGTATGAATTAGGAGTTGCCTTTCTGATTACTATACAAGGAGAGACTAATTTTGCATGGTTTTGCTCAGTAGGTAAACACTGGCCACCAGGGGGTGGGACCTGACCAATTTCATCCTTTACAGTTTTTTTTTTAATCCTGCCTTTATTCTTCTTATAATTAACTCACTGTAGTAAACATACCTAATATTCCTCCCTCCTCCTATTTTCCTCACAATCACAACCCTGATCCATTGCTTTGTTTCTCTGACCGTCTAGAGTATTCTTAGGCAACAATGTTGACTCAGCCTTCCATCTTTACGAGGTCTGTAAAATGAGGACCCAGATTGGTGTGGGACAAGATGATGACTCTGTAAACTGCTTAGAGATGGCTGTAAAGCACTGTGAAGCGGTATATAAGTCTAAGCGCCATTGCTAAGTGTTATCTTCTTCAACACCAACATTTAAAGGTATCGGTACTCTTCTTATCCTAACAAAGACATCTAAAAGCCTTCCTGAGCTCATTCTCCTAATAGATGAGTCCAAAAGCATTTGCAAGCAATTATCCCTAAATTGGTCATATCACGGTTTATCTTTTACAACTTAGCCTATGTCGAACTACCCTACTGAAATCCCCAGGAGTTGCAATTGGTGCAAAATGTGGCAACAACTGGGCACAAGGTATGAGGATTGTGTGATGCCTGTATTGAGTCACTTGCAGTTCAATGACAAGCTTGTTCACATTTCCAGAAGTGGGGTGCTTCAAATCTCCCTTCCCCTTTACCAAAAGCTTGCCGCTAAGAAAGTCAGACTTTGACTGTAAAGAGTAATAACTATGCAAGTTTCATGTGTGAAGAGCAGATGGGAGTCCTGGCAAGGAGTACAGCTGTTGTGCACCAATTGTTTCTGTTCTTTGACCAGGGAGCTTTACTTTGAATTCCTATCACCTCTTGAATGGATTACAGTAACTACTGTAATACATTCTAAATAGGGTGTCGCTTGAAGAGAACCAAACATTTTCATCTCTCTCTCTCTCTCTCTCTCTCTCTCTCTCTCTCTCTCTCTCTCTCTCTCTCTCTCTCTCTCTCTCTCTCTCTCTCTCTCTCTCTCTCTCACACACACACACACACACACACACACACACACACACAATAGAGGTGAGATGATTTTGCTGAAGAGGTTTGTGTGAAACATATATTTACATTAGGAGAGGTTGTCCAAAAGGTGCTTTTTCAGGAGACAACTGGAATTCTTTTGTTTTTTTCTTTTGAAGACATTTTGCTTTTCATCCAAAAGTTTTTTCAAAAGGAAAAACAAGAAAGTCCAGTTGCCTTCCTGAAAAAGCACCTTTGGGACAATCATGACCTGGATGACGGAGAATCTCTACAGATGTTTAGCAATACAATTTGGGATGAGCACCCTTTGAATGGTGTGGGAATAAGGAATGCATTTCCAGAGAACAAAATTGCAGACCACAGGAACCAGGAGCACCACTTCAGGTGACCCTGAGGACACAGATAAACCTCCAAGTGCTTCAATGACCCTCTAAAAGGATGCAAATGAGCAGCTGTCTGCAAGAAATATAAATCCTTCCATTCCCCACTATCCTGTCAGAGTTGAAGAAGCTTCTTGGATGAGAAGTGGAACATCTTCAAAGAAAAAACAAGAAAGTCCAGTTACCTTTTGTCCTTTTTCCTCCTCCCCCCAAAATTGTTTTAAAAACAATTATTCTTCTTTTGAACTTCCCAATACAGATTGTAGATTGATCGCTTGGGAGGCTGGTTGCACCACGGACATCAGTGAAATTGAATGCAACTATACAGTTCGGTACTGTAGGAAGTTAGCACCCACCCCTTTCCTAGAGGAATGAAATATTTTGGGAAATATTAAAAAGGCAGAATGTTATGTTTCCCTGCATGAGAAATGGAGAAGCATGTTTTAAAGACGAAGCAGCTCCTACCTTCCTGCCCCCACCCTTTGTCAATGGGCCAGAGGCAGCAACTCAATCTTTGTCAATGGACCATCATCTACAACACAATAGGACCCATCTAGGACAGAAACTCCCCACATGGCACCTGGGAAGATTATATCAGCCAGCAAGGCTAGCTAAGACCCCCACCCCCTGGGAGTCTGACAACCAATCAGGATACTCTTTCGGGGCCCTAGGAAGTTCAAAGCCAGAGAGAGCATAAACCTGGGGACTTGCTGTATCTCGGCCCCTTTTCTGTTCAGGAACTCAAACCATATGAGCCTGTCCACCATTAAACCATCTTTCCAAGCAGTCTCCATGTTTCCAGTGTCTTTTTCCCTACTTGGAGCTGAACCCAGAAGGATATTTCTTCCAACAGTACAGTATAGGACAGTGATGGCTAACCTTTTTTCCCTCGGGTGCCAAGAGGGCATGCGTGTGTGTGACAGTGCACGTGTGCGTGCCCACACCCATAATGCAATGCCCCCCTGAGCATGCACGTGCACCCCTTGTGTTTCCCCTCCCCCCTGCGCATGTATGCGTGACTCCGCCACCCCCCACTCTGCCACCCCCATGCTCCCCCCACCCCTCCACACATGCACCCCCCCCGCACCGCCCCAGTCCATTTTTGGTCCCAGAAGGCTTCAGGAAGGCCTGCTAGGCCCAAAATGGGGCATGGGGATGCGCCACATCCCCCCTGTCCCCCGTGCATTCATGCATAACCTCCCTTGCCCCCTGCCCATGCGTGCATGACCCCCCCCAGCGGGAGGCATGCGCGCATGTGCGGTGGAGCTGACCTAGGGTGACAGCTTGCATGTCCGCAGAGATGGCTCCCCATGCCATCATGGATATAGGACTTTCCATATATAGAGGAATCACTATTTGATATCTCCTACTGCATCTGACATCTCCTACTGCAATATCGGTCATCCCTCTGAATAAAATGAAGAGACAGACATATTTAGAAAAATCTTCCATTATTTGAATGGAAGACAATTTCCTCTCTCTCCTTATTTCAATGCAGATGTCCTCCCTCCATCAGGCTGTGGTACATGACTTCCAGTCAAGATGATTATTCATTATGCAATAAACAGCTTTTCAGTATAACCACAGGGTAACTTTGTTATTAAGTTTCATAAAGACAGTACTCCAAGCATTATCTTAAGTAAGGGTTATGAAATGGAGTCCTGAATGATTCCAGGGTTATCGTCTGTTATATCCTGAGTAGAATGATGAGCCAAATATCCCAAGAGATATTTCATCTCTCAACTATTATCCAGTTATGGCTAAGTGATGCAAGGGGAGGAATGTAAAATTGAGTAAATCTACCAGGCAAATCAGAAGAAGTCTCTAAATGCCTTAGGGTGCAGCTCAGGAGTGGGATTCAGCCGGTTCGGACTGATTTGGCATATCTGATAGTTAAATTTCTGGCTGACCCCTCCCCTCCTCATCCTGCCCCTTCCAAGAGTCCCCACGCACCACATTTTGGCTCCCAGGTAAGTGCAGGGAGGCCTACTAGGCCCAAAATGGGGTGCGTAGGGGGTGCGGCACCCTCCCTCATGGCCTGTTTTCATTCCCAGGATGCTGCAGGGAGGCTTTTTAGGCCCAAAATGGGGCACGGGGTGTGTGGCGTGCCCCTCCTGTGGCCTGTTTTCACTCCCAGGAGGCTTCAGGGAGGCCGCCTAGGCGCTTCCCCCCCCGCATCCCGTTTTTACTCCCAGAGGGGGTGCAAGAGGCCAAGTGCTGCCTGTCATACCCCCTGGCCATGCCCACTATGGCCACGCCCACCCAGCCAGTCATTAGGGCAGAGAACCGGTTGTTAAATTATTTGAATCCCACCACTGGTTCAGCGCCTACTTTCACGGCACTTCTTGCAAAGATGTTCTTTGGAGACTTTGGAGATGGAAGAAAAGTTAAGGATTAAATGAAAACTGATCCATATTTATTTCTGTGGCACATGTGCACAGGGCAAGTACATAGAACAGGAGTGTCAAACTCAAGGCCTGGGGCCCGGATCCGGCCCATGGTGTGCTTAGAATTGGCCCATGGGCCCATCCTGGAATCAGCGAAGGACTGGCCCACAGTGCCTTTGCCAGAAAAAACTGGCCCTCCTGAGCTCCGTTTTCGCTGGCAGCAGGTTGCAGGAGGCCGTTGCAGGCAAAAATAGAGCTCGAGAGCCCATTTTCGCTGACAGAGTGTTGGGCCACTACAGGCACCCCCAACATGAGTGACGTTGAGCTGGCCACACTCACCCCAGCCTCCCAAGGTCAAATACAACCCTGATGCGGCTCTCAATGAAATCGAGTTTGACATTTCTGACATAGAGCATGGATCCCCAACCCTCGGTCCACTGAACTGGTTCCTGGTTTCTGGTGCCCTAAAGCTCATTGCTGAGTACATAGAATCCATGATTATTCACCTTTAACCTCTTAGATTTGTTTTCACCATCTACTTGAGTAGTGGGGGTGATCTTCAGTCAACAGTTGGATTTTCAAAATGTGCCCAGATTAAAACAACATGTACAAATATGAAACACTCATTTTTATTGATACTAGTCAAGGCTGTGGGTACTTCCAGCTTACCAAACCAAACATTTATTAAATAACAGACAGACAACAAATGTAGCCAATGGTGTTATGATCTGCTTAGGGTTGGTCAAGTCTTCTCTTTTTTTTCCCCTTTTGAATATATGTTTTATTGATACATTTTTTTCATTAAAACATAAACAATTTCATGTCTATCTGAAGTCTTCTCATACAGATACCAAACAACAAAAACATACCAACAAGGAGAATGTCTGCTTGATAAGCCATCATTCAGAGCACCTGAGTTAAGTCAGGTCCCGGACGCCTTACTGAAAGATTACTGGAGGGAGGGAAACTCTGTTGCACACATGGGTTTGCTTAACAAATATTGGCAAATCTTTTTGGCATTGAGTGCCGAAAAGGGAGTGACCGCTCGTCTGGACCGCAACCTGGAAGAGGAGCTGCCCAGAGTGTATGTGCATGCCCTAAAATGAACTTATGGTTTCTGGTGCTCATATGCATGCTGTAGTGGTGGGTTTTAAATTTTTTACTACTGGTTCTGTGGGTGTGGCTTTGTGGGTGTGGCATGGTTTTGTGGGCGTGGCTTGGTGGGCGTGGCAGGGGAAGGATATTGTAAAATCTCAATTTCCTCCCCACTTCCAGGGGAAGTATACTGCAAAATCCCCACTTTCTCCCGATCAGCTGGGACTTGGGAGGCAGAGACTAGATGGGGGTGGGGCCAGTCAGAATTTTTACTACCAGTTCTCCAAACTACTCAAAATTTCCGCTACCGGTTCTCCAGAACTGGTCAGAACCTGCTGAAACCCACCTCTGGCACGCTGGCCAGCTACTCTTCCAGGTTCCTGGCACACATTCACGTGTGACGATCAGCTGGCCGGCACGGATGCTCATGCCAGAAAATGGAAGACCAGCTCTTCCAGTTTCTGGCACTGCCGCATGCAAGAAAGCCAGCTGATCATCGTGCGTGCATGCACACCAGAAACCCAAAAGTGGAACGGGCAATGCCACGCGTGCGAGGCGACATGGCCCCGCATGCCACTTCTGGCCCGTGTGCCATAGATTCACCATCACGGGCTTAACACATTTCACTTGGCTAATTTTACGCCATATCTTAAATCACTAATGAACAAGAAAATGCACCACACAACATTTTCCTGATAACGGTAGAATCTACATTAAGATGGTGAGGGAATGCAATTGCTGGTTTTTTTTTTTAATTCATCTCTTTAGGCATGAGAGGTGAACCGGGCGTGTGAGAGACTGGGGTCTTGGGTTCCTAAGGGTTGCTTCAGGATGAGAAGAGCATAGCCTTCCACTATTGTTGTCGTCATTGTTGTTTTGATTTTATTTATAAGTTAACGTGTAAGCCACCAACCAAGTGCCAAGCTGAGGCCAGTAAAGAGGGTGAGGCTGGGTTGGCTGACCGTTCCCCCATTGCATAAGTCAAAAGTACAGCAAGTGCGATTGTAATTCAAGTCAAAAACATCATCCCTTTGCTCGGTCTTGTTGCAGAGTTCAGTCAGTTTGCTGCAGTCATGTTTCGTGAAAAGCTTTAGACTGCCTGAGTGGAAGAAGAAACGAGAAAAATAAATGTTAAAAGTTAGGACCTTTGCTCCATCTTGGGGGACGTATACGAGAAGACATTTTAAAAACTGAAAGTTATGAGATCTGCTTTACTTACAGGTAATTTTACCAGATGGCACCTCTTGCATGGTCTTAACTGGATTCAAAAGCTAATCAAGGTTTGGTCTGGTTACAGTTTAGATCAGTGGTGAAATTCAATTTTTTTTTTACTACCGGTTCTGAGGGCATGGCTGGGTGGGCGTGGTGTGGCTTGATGGGTGTGGCTTGGTGGGCATGGCAGGGGAAGGATACTGCAAAATCTCCATTCCCTCCCCACTCTGGGGCCAGCCAGAAGTGGCATTTGCCGGTTCTCCGAACTACTCAAAATTTCTGCTACCAGTTCTCCAGAATCTGTCAAAACCTACTGGATTTCACCTCTGGTTTAGATGCTATACAAACAAGGAATCCCAAGGCTGTAAGCCATTCCAGGAAGGTGAAAAGCATCCTCGAAGAATGTCTATGGAGATTCTTAGTCATCCAGCTCCTGGTTTTCCCAAGGATGCTTTTTCAAAAGGCAATTGGAATTTGTTTGTTTTTCTTTCTTCAAGAAAAACCAGAATCCGGTTGCCTTTTGAAAAAGCATCTTTGGGACATCCTCAAAGAAAGCAATGACAGATCACTTTCATATTGTTGACAAGATAAGGGCATCCTTGTGCCCAGATAGTCATCAAGAACTGAATCCAGTGGTGGGTTGCTGCCGGTTTGGACTGGTTCTGGCTCCAGCTGAGCCGTGCAATTATCAGAGGTTCTTTTTTTTTTTTTAGTTTTTAAAAGCATTTTTTCTACAACCTCTTCGGCCGAAAAAATGCTTTTAAAAGTAAAAAAAAAAAAAAAGCCTCTGATGATTGCGCGGCTCAGCTGGGATTGTCAAAGGCTTTTAAAAGATTTTTTCTACAACCTCTTCAGAGGTTGTAGAAAAAATGCTTTTAAGAGCCTCTGATGATCCCATCTGAGTTGCCTGATCAGCAGAGGCTTTTAAAAGAAAAAAAAGCCTCTGCCGATCAGGCAACTCAGCTGGGATTGTCAGAGCCTTTTGAAAGCATTTTTTTACAACCTCTTCACCAACGAGGTTGTAGAAAAAAAATGGTTTTAAAAGTAAAAAAAATAAAAAATGGCCACGTCCACCCAGTCACATTATCCCACCACCACCAAGCCACACTCACAGAACCGGTAGTAACAAATTTTAGATTTCACCACTGCATGTGTCTATCATTTTATTTTCACTCCATACTTTAGTCTCAATGTAGTTGGTTGAGGAACTGGACTACTGAGAGATTTCCTCTAAAACAGGGGTGGGCAATAAACAACTTATAAATTACTGTTAGCCCAAACCATGGTGTTAGCATAAGAAGGTTTTTAAGAGAATCTGGTAGCTCCTATTTAACCCCCAAGATTTTGAATGCTATTTATATAAATGAAATGAAATATAGTTTTGTTTTATACAAAGCTACAGATGTAAATATATGCATTTAGCTTAACTTCCAGCTTTACTTCCAATTATCCCCGTTTATATCCTTCACACCCAGATTCGTCTTTCCAACATTATTGATGCTCTTCCTCTAATTTTGCCCAATGCATAAGCTATGGAATTCTGCTCTAGAATAATGTTTGATCCTTGGTCATATTTCTGATGAAAAGATGAGAAATCATTAGCAGCCCCCAGTCTTCTTCAGATCTTCTCCAACCAGGATGACAACGGTGAGTATTGTTGTCAGTACAGTTTTCATGTGATCAGTGTGGCTTCCTGCCTTTTTAGGCAAGGAACACTTGATAAAAGTAGTGTAGTCCAACAAGAGATTTCATCATTAAAAAAAATATTCCTCTTGCCTATCCATGTATGGCCCCTTAATTTGTAACATAATCCTATCCACTAAGACTTTTGACTCCTACAAAGAAGTTGAAAATGTCCCCTCAGAAGCCCATGATAAAAGATAAGTGATTATATTTAGGAAGTTTCTTGATGGGTCCCAATGCTCAAAATATATATCTCTCTCCCCTTCCCTCCCTCCCTCTCTCCCTCCCTCCAGCCCTCCATCCCATACACTTCACACTCTGTTTTTCAGATTGGAGCCTCAGTGGACAACCAGCTAAATATGAGCCAGCAGTGTGCAGTGGCAGCCAAAAAAGGCCAATGCAATCCTAAATTGCATTAACAGAGGAATACAATCAAGATCAAGTGAGGTACTAATCCCGCTCTATAAAGCCTTAGTAAGACCACACCTAGAGTACTGCATCCATTTTGGTCACCACACTATAAAAAAAGATGTTGAAACTCCAGAAAAAGTGCAGAGGAGAGCAACCAAGATGATTAGGGGACTGGAGACTAAAACATAAAAAGAACGGTTACAGGAAGTGGGCATGGCCAGTCTAGTGAAGAGAAGGACCAGGGGAGACATGATAGCAGTCTTCCAATATTTGAGGGGCTGCCACAGAGAGGAGGGGGTCAAGCTATTTTCCAAAGCACCTGAAGGCCGGACAAGGAATAATGGATGGAAACTGAATAAGGAGAGATTCATCCTGGAAATAAGGAGAAATTTTCTGACAGTGAGAACAATCAACCAATGGAACAGAAGTTGCCTTCAGAAGTTCTGGGAGCTTCATCACTGGAAGCTTTCAAGAAGAGACTGGACTGCCATTTGCCAAAAAGGGTGTGGGGTCTCTTGCTTGGGCAAGGCGGGAGGGGGGGTTGGACTAGATGACCTACAAGGTCCCTTCCAACTCTGTTAAGCTGTATCTGTAAATTGTACCTTTATAAACTCTGGTCGTCTCACACTGCTGGCCTTCCCTCGTTCGACAGGGATCATCAGAACTAAGACAAACACTGCCGACTTTAAAGTTGCAAACATTGCATATTAGACCTTGACCTGCAAAGAGAAAAACCAAAAGAGAGAAATTAGTTCAGGTTGAACAAAGAAGTGGGAACAGCTGGGTAGATGGTCATAGTTGCCATGTGTCTAAGAATGTTCTGGCTGCCACCTACTGGTCCATAGTGGTACTGCCTAACAGAGTTACCAGGCATCCAGCTACACCTATCCAGCAGGCATAGCCTTGAAATCAAATACAGATCCTTGACTTACAACCACAATTGGGACCAGAATTTCTGTTGCTAAGCGAGGCAGTTGTTAAGTGAATCATGCCCAATTGGATGAGGGGTTTTTTTTGCCATGGTTTTTAAGCAAATAATTGCAGTTGTTAAATGAGTCACATGGTTGCCAAGTGAACTCAGCCTCTCCCATTGACTCCTGATGCTGCAACCTTCATCAATGCATGTCGGTTACTAAGTGCCTGGATTTTGATCATGTGACTGTGGAGATGCTGAACCGATTGTAAGAGAGAGGATTGGTTGCAAGTCACTTATTTCGGTGCGGATGTGACTTTGAACAGTTGATAAACGAATGGGTTGTAAATCAAGGACCATCTATATCGTCTGACTTTTTGAATATATTCCTCGGCAGCTTTTCTCTGTTGGGAAGCTAATTGCTAATAATAATTTTTTTGCTAATTGCAAGTTAACAAGCACAGTTCTGTGATCTTATATTTTATTTTATATGAGCCACGGTGGCGCAGGGGCTAGAATGCAATGCTGCAGACAAAACTCACTGCTCACTGCCAAGAGTTCGATCCTGACTGGCTCAAGGTTGACTCAGCTTTCCATCCTTCTGAGGTTGATAAAATGAGGACCCAGATTGTTAGGGGCAATATGCTGCTCCATCAGGCAGTATATAAGTCAGTGATGGCTAACTAGTTGTTTCCAGCCTCCAGGGGGTGGGGAAGGCCGTTTTTTCCTTCCCAGGCTCCTAGAAAGGCTCTGGAGCCTGGGGAGGGTGAAAAACAGGCCTACCAGGCCCACCAGGCCATTGCATGCCAAAAGCGGGGGAAGCGCAGGGGGTTGTGCACGCATGCGCGGGGAGCGGGGCGCATTGAATTATGGGTGTGGGCATGCGTGTGCGTGACCCCCCCGCTCCCCCAGCTTTTGGCACGCAATGGCCCGGTGGGCCTGGTAGGCCTGTTTTTCACCCTCCCCAGGCTCCAGAGCCTTTCTAGGAGCCTGGGAAGGAAAAAACGGCCTTCCCCACCCCCTGGAGGCTGGAAACAGCTAGTTTTCCAACTTCCGGTGGGCCAAGAAAGCCCGAAAATCAGCTGGCTGGTGGGTGCATGCGCACCAGAGATGAGCTAGGGCAACGCCCACGTGCCTACCGATATGGCTCCGTGTGCCACCTGTTTCCTAGGTTCGCCATCACGGATATAAGTGCTATTGCTATTTCTTATCTATTTATTAAACATATTTATATAGTTATCTAACTCTCACACTTTGACTCCAGGCATAATACTACATTAAAAATCCAGTTAATAGCAATAGCATTTAGACTTATACACTGCCTCACAGCCAGGGGTGCTATTCAGCAGGTTCTGACAGGTTCTGGAGAACCAGTAGCGGAAATTTTGAGTAGTTTGGAGAATCGGCAAATGCCACCTCTGGCTGGCCCCAGAGAAGGGTGGAAATGGAGATTTTGCAATATCCTTCCCCCAGGAGTGGGGTGGGAATGGGGATTTTGCAGTATCCTTCCCCTGCCATGCCCACCAAGCCACGCCCACAGAACCAGTAGTAAAAAAAATTGAATTCCACCACTGCCCACAACACTTTACAGTCCTATCCAAGAGGTTTACAGAGTCAGCACATTGCCCCCAACAATCTGGATCCTCATTTTACTGACCTCGGAAAGATGGAAGGCTGAGTCCACCTCGAGCCTTTTTCGGGATCGAACTCTTGGCTGTGGGCAGAGGTAGCCTGCAATACTGCATTCCAATCGCTATGCCACCTTAAAAAATTGACAATTCTTTAAAAGCCAAGGTGGCGCAGTGGTTAGAGTGCAGTACTGCAGCTACTTCAACTGACTGCTAGTTCAGCAGATCAGTGGATCAAATCTCACTGGCTCAAGGTTGACTCAGCCTTCCATCCTTCCGAGGTGGGTAAAATGAGGACCCAGATTGTTGGGGGGCAATATGCTATTTAGTATACTGTCTTTGGTATAAGCCGCCCAGAGTCCTTGGAGAGTGGGTGGCATAGAAATATGACTAATAAAATAAAATAAAAAAAGAAAGAAAGAAAATACCTACTCCATCTCATGTGCATTATGACGGGTTTGTTTTGTTCCTCTTTTGCACACGGTTTGACCCAGAGTGATAAATGCCAACAGCCTGTAATGTACATCAGCCTCACCCCAAAGTATTACTCTCACACATATGAAATCCCTGCATGAACCTTGAGAAGGCTGGCATGTGAAACATGCTGGGAGCAGCATAAGATGGAAAGAAGAGAAAGCTGGAACGGAGCCCAGAATATTATTATCAGATAGAGTGTAGCCAATGGGGGGGGGGGGACTGAAAACAATTTCAGGGAATGCCAAAGGTGTGGTTCCCACAGAAGCGTCCAACTACTTTCCATGAAAGGAAGATTAAGTTATTAAAATCCAGCAAGGAAAATAAGTGACTGACTTTTCTCCACCCAAGTTGTTGTTTGGGGAGTGGTTGTTTTCTATCATGTTGTGGTGGTACATGAGAATCCTAAGCTTGCCAAATATGACTTGAAACTGTAAGGTGAAAAATCAGATGACATTGATTGAGTCATCGCTGGTTTCCATCACGGTTCTCTAGGGGGTGGTTTTTCAGCAAAATCGTTGTAATGTATATGGTCACATGACCACAGGATCTGTAAATAGCTGTAAATCCAGCCATACTACTGTTGGAAGAAATATACTTCTGGGTTCAGCTCCAAGTGGGGGAAAAGATACTGGAAACATGGAGACTGCTTGGAAAGATGGTTTAATGGTGGACAGGATCACATGGCTTGAGTTCCTGAACAGAAAAGGGCCAAGATGCAGTGAGTCCCCGGATTTTATGCCCTCTCTGGCTTTGAACTTCCTGGGGCCCAGAAAGAGTATCCTGATTGGTTGTCAGACTCCCAGGGGGTGGGGGTCTTAGCTAGCCTTGCTGGCTGATGTAATCTTCCCAGGTGCCATGTGGGGAGTTTCTGTTGCTAGATGTGTCCTATTGTGTTAGTTTCTGTTGCTAGATGGGTCCTATTGTGTTGCAGATGATGGTCCATTGACAAAGACTGAGTTTCTGCCTCTGGCCCATTGACAAAGGGTGGGGGCAGGAAGATGGGAGCTGCTTCGTCCTTAAAACATGCTTCTCCATTTCTCATCTAGGGAAACATAATATTCTGCCTTTTTAATATTTCCCAAAATATTTCATTCCTCTAGGAAAGGGGTGGGTGCTAACTTCCTACACTACTAAGTGCCCAAAGTTTAGTCATGGGACTGCAGGGCAGGGTGACCATAGAAACTCTGGATCTGGGTCATAAGTAGCTCAAAGTAGGTCCATCATAACTATGAATGGTTGCCAGTAAGTTGAAATGCATATTTTACCTTCTCTCTCTAAATTTACATCCTAATTTTCTTCTTTCCATTATTTACACTTTCCAATAATCAAATCTATAAATCACAAGATCATTTTTCCTTTCTTTTTTTTCCAAGAATAAGAGATTGGACTTAGTTTTCACCTATTCATAGATCCATGGTGATTTTGAAAAGGAGGAGGACAGCCAGTAGCAAACTCCATTTATTGCTTCTTTCTGCATCGCAACCAATATCCCAAAGGTGCTTTTTCAAGAGGCAAAAAAAACTTTCTGTTTTTTCTTTGAAGACATTTGGCTTTTCATCCAAGAAGTTTCTTCAACTCTGACTGGATGGTGGAGAATGGAAAGATTTATGTCTCCTTGCAGACAGCTGGACATTGGCATCCTTTTAGAGAGTCGTTGGCCTCAAGGAGTATAAATCCATCCACTCCTCACCATCCAGTCAGAGCTGAAGAAACTTCTCGGATGAGAAATGAAACGTCTTCAAAGCAAAAAATCCAGTTGCCTCTTGAAAAAGCACCTTTGGGACAACCATGACTTGGATGACTGAGAATCTCCAGAGACATCGCAACCAATAGATTGTTAGCCAGCCTTTCCAGGGAGTAGCATACAAATATAATACCAAAAGTAAAGAAATAAAGTGAAGAAGTAAGCAAACAATTAAATATGCTCCCAATGAAACCTTGGTCAAGTTTCTTTAAGACCCTTAGTTGATACCAGAAGTGGGATTCACATCATTTACCTACTGGTTTGCTCAGCACCAAAAATGTGAGCGCCCAGCCTCAAACATGTGCCTAAATAGGACAGCATAGAGCTGGAGCACGTGGGTGGGCCCATCTGCGATTTCCGCTACAGGTTCGCGCGAACTGGTCCGAACTGGCTGAATTAAACCTCTGGCTGATATATTAAGCTGAAAAGAGGAACCAGTGACCAACATAGCCAAATGGAAGAGGAAGGATTTCTACTCTCCGCTGGTATTCTGAAATTTTTTCAAGTGTAGATTAAGTGGCAAGACTCTCTCTTGAATTTCAAGTCTTCTGCATAGCAGCTAGACATACTCTCTCTTCCTTTTTCAGATGGATATCTGAACAAAGGAATGGACGGTTGAATATGGATACCAAAATACTTGGGAGTGGTCCCTAAAACTTGTCCAAAAATTGCTGTCAAAATTGTGTGTGTGGTTTTTTGGTTTTGTTTTTTAAATGAAGGTAAAGAATATGATGAAATGCATGTGGCAAGCTTATAAGCTCTATTTGTGTTAATTAAGTTTAGGCTAGTTTGTATCAGTGGTGGGTTCCTCCCGGTTCCGCCCGGTTCCGCCGAGCCGGTAGCGGTGACGATATAATGTCAATGAACCAGTTCTGCCCCCCCGTCCCCTGTCCCCCCACCCCACCACCACCCGCGTTATTCTTACCTTTTATTTGGCCCCACCCCCAATCTATTGCTGCCTCCTGAGTCCCAGCTGATGGCTAGAGGGGAAAAAAACTGTTTAAACTCTTGCTGGGGGGCTTCAAAGGGCCGCCCTACAGCTGATCAGTGTTAAAAGAAAACAAATGGGTAGACCGGTGCCTGCAAAAATAAATGGGTAGACCAGTGCCTGCAAAAATAAATGGGTAGATCGGTGCCTGCAAAAATAAATGGGTAGACCAGTGCCTGCAAAAATACATGAGTAGATCGGTGCCTGCAAAAATAAATGGGTAGACCAATGCCTGCAAAAATACATGAGTAGATTGGTGCCTGCAAAAATAAATGAGTAGATCGGTGCCTGCAAAAATAAATGGGTAGACCAGTGCCTGCAAAAATAAATGAGTAGATCGGTACAGCTCTGCAAGCAGTTAAAAGCCTGGTAGACCAGTACCTCTGCTAAATCCTAAATAATTGTCACATGACCATCAAGCCACGCCCACAAAATAAGCCACGCCCACAGAACCGGTAGTAAAAAAAATTAGAACCCACCCCTGGTTTGTATAATAATAATAATTGTTTCATTTGTTTGCCACCCAACTCCAAAGGGGTGAGGTCCATTGTCTTGCCTCTGACTATTTTTAACAATTTGATAATGATGATTTGAAATAAACAAGCTCTTTCACAGCATGAATTTTGGGAACACCAAATCTATCTGTCTGTAGAGATTCTTGGTCCTCCAGGTCATAGTTATTCCAAATGTGCTTTTTCAGGCGGCAACTGGACTTTCTTGTTATTTTTCTTTTGAAGACGTTTCACTTCTCATCCAAGAAGGTTCTTCAAAAGAAAAAAAAAACCAAGAATCTGCAAGGAATATAAATCTTTCCATTCCTCGCTATTCTGTCAAAGCTGAAGAAGCTTCTTGGATGAGAAGTGAAACATCTTCAAAAGGAAAAAAAACCCAAGAAAGTCCAGTTGCCTCCTGAAAAAGCACATTTGGGACAACCAAATCTATCTACAGAATTAGCAAGTTTGTCTAAGGGACCTGGAATTAAATTCCTTGTTTTGGGTTATTTCATTCATGTTTGTTTATGCAATCTATTGATAAACTAAAGCTGTAACTCTGTACATGGTGAGTTTTGCTTCTCAATAAGCCTGCACTGCAAAGTATAGTCAAAGTATAGTCAATCCTTCCTTCCTTCCTTCCTTCCTTCCTTCCTTCCTTCCTTCCTTCCTTCCTTCCTTCCTTCCTTCCTTCCTTCCTTCCTTCCTTCCTTCCTTCTTCCTTTCTTCCTTCTTTCTTTTCTTTCTTTCTTTCTTTCTTCCTTCCTCCCTCCCTCCATTCATTCATTCATTCATTCATTCATTCATTCATTCATTCATTCATTCTACTAGGCTTATATGCCACTCCAATCATTACCAACTTTGAGTATCTTATAATTCTGCTATGGGTTAACAGGATTCAAATAACTAAAAACCAGAATAAGAACAAAGAGTACAATTCACAAATGTAACCCGTTAGCAAAATATGCTTGTGCTAAGGATCCGTAAAACTCCATATAGTCATATACCCAGAAACAATTCTTCTCTCACTCAACAGTCTGATGGCACAATCAGGTTTTGCTTTCCTAAATAATCTGCATAAACTAATCCGCATGCATAAACTGCACACTATTTCCAGATTTTTTTTTTAAAGGAAAATTATGTGGCTCCTTGATTTGTATATAAGGCATCGAATGCCAACGCTTTTCTAAGATAAAAATTAAGTGAAACCAAAATATAGGTGCTCATTTATAGGGTTGCCAGGTGTCCACTATTTGAGTGGACAGTCCGCTTTTTTCACATTATGTTCACTATTTTTTTTTCACAAAATATTGGACATTTTTTTTATTCAAAAGCTTTATGATGAAATGGTACATAATCTAAAGCTGTACAGTCTAAGAGAATAAGGATAGGAGAATCGCGTTTTGTCTTTTTTTTTCATAAATTAGAATGAGACAAAGATCGAATATCCATTGAACTCGATTCTCCAAAAAAATTAATGATGAAATTAAAATAAAAATGTATTATAAAATTATGTACAGTTCACATTTTTAAAATGTATTGTAGCTTGTGTCAACTGACCTAAAATGGCGTGTTAAAATGTTTGTAAGAAAATATATAATTTAATTGTAAATTTTTTTAAATTTTTTTTACTACTTAACCCCCCTCCGCCCCCCCGCTTGTCCGCTATTTTTTGGAAGCAGACCTGGCAACCCTAGTGCTCAAACTGGATTGGTTGTATTTAGTTCTTGGATAGGAAATTAGGAAAACCCCAGGCTAGATTGAACTGTGAAAAACTTCCAAGCGGCAGAGGGAAATCCCTTTCACATTCTTGCCAAGAAAGCAAGAATGTGCTATATAAATCATCAGAAATTGAATTTAACCCAGGGGCTTTTTATGTTTCCAGCTGAAACATCACGTCCATCTTTCTTCCCTTCCACCAATGGTCTGATTCAATCTAAAATATTGTGGAATTCCCACCAGGGGTAACTACGTTAATTTACTCCATGCTACTACCATCCTATCCAAACAGGCTATATTTTCCTTGGATTTATCTAACAAAATTGGTGCACTACAGCGAAGGCAGGGTTTTGCAGATTGCAGTGCAGAAAGAGTACGGATTGTTTTTTTTTTCAGATCTGAGTCCCTCACAGCCTGAAATGATTGTCAGATAGATTCAGGTGGGGCAGATTAAAATACAGATAAAGCAAAGTATTAGAAACATTCCCTCCCGCAATGCTGAGATATTTAATCCAGGAATAAACCATCTGATTGCTTCCAGCTGTTTTGGATTGCAATTGCTAGAAGATCAGCTCATCTGGCAGCTGTAATCCAGAACAGCTGGTGGATTACAGATTGTTGCATCCTTTTATCTAGGCAAACTTCTCTAGCAGAATATTTATCTTTTGCCTTTTTTTCTTCTGCTGCTTTTTTTTTTTTTTAAAAAAAACTTGGCACTTACCAACTGTGCAGAAAATCAGAACCGAAAAACCGAGAAGAAGATATTTGTTCATCTTGATAAATTTCACAAGCGAGCAGGAGGAGGCGAGAAATGTTCCAGTGAAAATGGCAAAGAGCCAAAGAACAACTTTCCAAGTCGGATCCTGCAACTCTTTCAAGAAGCTTTTGAACACGGGCAGGGTTGAAAGGAAGCATTTATTCCCATGAAGGCTTTGAGGGATAGCCAATTGAATAACTGGCCGAGGATTGACACACCTCAGTTTTGGGGAGTTGCAAAACAGCAACCCAATCCCGTATATAAATGACATTCCTCAAAATAAAAATCCAGGGCAAATTTCATCAATGAGGATTTCTCATTTTCATGACAGGATGCTGGCAAGAGGGGCACTGTAGTCTAACTTATCTGTTGTGCTTCAGGTCAAGAAGAAATCTATTGCATTGATTGATTGACCTGTGCTCATTACCAATTTCTCTCCTTTTTCTGTTCAAAAATCTTTTAAATCTTCCATCTCCACATATTTGCTTATGTCCCCAGAATCAAGATGTCAGGTTTCAATGTCATTTCAAATAAATTGCATTTCCAAACAAATAATCTTTGCTGAAATCTTCCATTTATTGAGTACAACAATCTGGTCCCGACTTCGTCGTAGCCAACACTAACCCTCTGACCCCAAACCCTTCCCTTTCCGTTCCCCAATTCTCAGTATCTCATTGGCCATCTTCCAAGTCAGTCTCCCCACCTCCTGACTTCAACTCACAGGAATGTCCCCCCTCCCATCCCATCTCCTAGGGGATATTATCTACAGAGAAAATAAGTAGGTGAAAAGTCAAGCCTCTTCTTCTTCTCTTTATGGCAGCACTAGAATGCTGACACAAGAAATTTGTGAAGAGTACTTCTTGTTGCTGGAAGTTTCGACAATGGTCATGAAACAGCATGGTCTTTTGTGTTATACCCGTGATGACGAACCTATGGCATGCGTGCCAGAGGTGCCACACAGCACCCTCTCTGTGGGCACGCAAGCCATGGCCCCAGCTCAGCTCCAGTGCACACGCATGTCTGCCTCCTGCCGGCCAGCAGGTCTTCAGGTCTCTGCCGTGCATGCGCGGGAGGGGGGGGGCACATGCAGGGCCGTGGGGAGGCATATGCAGGGGGTTACGCATGCATGCATGGGGGCTGCATGCACATTGCATTTTGGGGATTTGGGTGTGCACGCATTCATGCACACACTTTGGGCACTCGGTCCGTAAAAGGTTAGCCATCCCTGTGTTATACCTTTTAGAAATTTTCCGCTATACGTTCCATTCTAGAATCTTGAATAGCTTTCCAGAAAAAGGCCCTGGTTGTTCTTTGATGACGGGGGAAAGGGAACTTCAGCCTATCAGCCAACACACTCAACAACAAAACTGCACAAACTTTTTCTAGACCCTTGGAACATTGAGTGATCTGCTGTTCTTATTGTAATTTTGAATCTGGCCAGAAAAAAAGTATGTTGAACACCAGAAATAGTCATAGTAACTGTATTCACGTAAGCTAATTTTCAATGTAATCAAATTTTTTCTCATTCCACGCCATCTTTTTTTTCTGGCCTCACCCACCTTCACATTTTAATATGTATTTCCTTTTGCCCAGTGGTGAAATGTAAAATTTGTTACTACTGGTTCTGTGGGCGTGGCTTGGTGGGGGGGGTAATGTGACTGGGTGGGCGTGGCCAACTTTTTTTTTTTTTTACTTTTAAAAGCATTTGGCTGAAGAGGTTGTAGAAAAAGTGCTTTTAAAAGCCTCTGACGATCCCAGCTGAGCCATGCGATCATCAGAGGCTTTTTTTTTTTACTTTTAAAAGCATTTTTTTTGGGCCAAAGAGGTTGTAGAAAAAATGCTTTTAAAAGTTAAAAAAAAAAGCCTCTGATGATCGCGCGGCTCAGCTGGGCATGGGGGAGGGGCAGGGATTTTTGCTACAGGTTCTCCTAACTACCCGCTGTCATCGCCACCGGATCGGGCGATCCAATCCGAACCGGGAGCATTTCACCCCTGCCTTTTGTCCTTTTCAACTGATCTATAAACCACAATACAATTATCTCTCTCATCCTCATCCTTCCTACTTTTTGCAGTGTAATAATATTTCTACAGTCCAAGAACATTGACAAAAAGATCTCAAGGGAAAGGGCATATAAAAATGCCACACTTTATCACTTATGACTGTATGACTGTAACCTTGTTGCTGGTATACTTAAGATTTATATTGACTGTTTCCTAATATAATTCGATTGCTTATTTGTACCCTATGACTATCATTAAATGTTATACCTCATGATTCTTGATGAATGTATCTTTTCTTTTATGTACACTGAGAGCGTATGCACCAAGACAAATTCCTTGTGTGTCCAATCACACTTGGCCAATAAAGAATTCTATTCTGTGAAAATAATGCAGGCGAATCCCCCATGACAATAGAAACATGTTTTCCAAACTGTGCATATGAGGTAGAATGGTCTTTGAAGGCAGATATATGAAGATTGGTGTGCCTAAAATGCATCTCAATTTGCAAGTTAAATTTATTTGAATAAAAGTGAGGAAACTGCTACTAGGCATATGCAATCAAGATAAGATTTCTCAATGACTGAAATATGTTCCTTGCTTTTTTTACAGCCTGAAAGTGGGAGCCACAGAATTGGGGAGCAAAGGAAATTGTCCCAAGGCTAACCAATTGGTACCTACTTTGCATCTCTTTCATCTGCTGCAGCAGTGAAGATGCAATCCCAGTAATATGATAGATCTGATTTTGAAGCCAAGAAGTGGTCTTTGCCCACATTACATAAATTAGAAGAGGGTCCCAATTAATAGACCTGATTTAACAGATTAACAGAGTTGGAAGGGACCTCCTGCCCAAGCAGAACCTACCTACACCATTTCTGACAGATGGCAGTCCAGTCCCTTCTTGAAAACTTCCAGTGATGAAGCTCCCACAATTTCCGAAGGCAACTTCTGTTCCATTGATTGATTGTTCTCACTGTCAGAAAATTTCTCCTTATTTCTAGGTTGAACCTCTCCTTGATCAGCTTCCATCCATTATTCCTTGTCCTACCCTCAGGTGCTTTGGAGAATAGCTTGACTCCCTTTTCTTTGTGGCAGCCCCTGAGATATTGGAAGACTGCTATCATGTCTCCCTTAGTCCTTCTTTTCATTAAACTAGACATACCCAGTTCCTGCAACCGTTCTTCATGTGTTTTAGCTTCCAGTCCCCTAATCATCTTTGTTGCTCTTCTCTGCACTTTTTTTACATCGTGGCGACCAAAACTGAATGCAGTGTTCCAAGTGTGGACTTACCAAGGTATTATAAAGTGGTATTAACACCTCACATGATCTTGATTCCATCCCTCTGTTTATGCAGCCTAGAATTTTGCCCACTCGAGCTTTGACAACACAAAGTCCCATACACGACTAAATAAATAAATAAACTAGTGGCTATGTGAGTTAGTGATCTCCTTGGTCATCTGCTGTCAACACCACTATTTATTTATTAAACAAATTTATATAGCCTCCCAACTCCCACACAGTGACTAGACAGGGAAGAATCCCATTTGTCACCGAACATGATCATAATATTCTTTCAGAACACTGCTGTATTTAATTTAGGTAACAACCCAACTGACAGATAACAAGCATTGTGAAGACATCATGCCAGCAGAAGCTTTGAAAAAGTTTCCTCCTGCTTCAACCTGTGGTCTTCTCGATGCTCAGAGGCAGACTATGAGAACCAGTTTTGTCTAGTGGTCAAGGAACCAGGCTAGAAACTGGGGGACCATGAGTTCTAATCCTGCCTTCGGCACGAAAGCCGGCTGGGTGGCTTTGGCCCAGTCACTCACTCTCAGCTCAACCCATCTCACAAGATTGTTATTGTGGGGAAAATAGAAGGAGGAGCAAATATTAAATATGTTCACTTCTTTGAGTTATTTATATTATATATATAGTTTTCGCAGGTGTGTGTATGTAAAAAGTTAAAATCTCGGGTGTTTTCCCACGTCATTAAAAGTCTGTTAGTTGAAATGCTTAAAATCCTGGCTAAAATCCCAGCTTAAAATCTCACAGTATACCCACAGTTTCTAAACTGAAAGTAGGGGCCCGATGATGACAAGTTAGAGAGCTTGCCGAAACGTTGTCAAAAAAGAAAACTTTTGAAGTGTTGGTTAGGATTTTAGCCAGAGTTTCAAAAGACCTTACAAAGTGTTTGTTGGGATTTTGGAGGATTTTAAGCTGGGATTTTAGCCAGGATTTTAAGCATTTCAACTAACAGACTTTTAATGACGCGGGAAAACACCTGAGATTTTAACTTTTTACACACACACACACACACACACACACACACACACACACACACACACACACACACATATATATATATATATATATATATATATATATATATATATATATATATATATATATATATATATATATATATATATATATAAAATTATTATTTTATTTAGTGTATATGAAAGCCAGGGAGTCTACAATGTTATTTCAGAGTAGTTTGGCTCCCTAAGATTGCTAGTCGTTTAGTTTAGAGAGTGCCCAATGTTCAAGTCTGTCAAGATCTTTCTGTATTTTAACTCTGTCTTCTGGAGTGTTGGCTATTCCTGCTAGCTTAGTGTTGTCTGCAAATTTGATGAGTTCCCCATCTATTCCCTCGTCTTAATCATTGATGAAGATGTTGAAGAGTACTGGGCCTAAAACAGAGCCTTGGGGTATTCCACTGCATACTTTCCTCCATGTAGATGCAGTTCCATTGAGATAGAAGAACATGAATTTCTCATCAACAATTCTTGTCATATCAATACTCGATGTTTAACCCTTGTGGGAATGCTGATAATCATAATATACAGTAATTTGATTTCAGAAAAGCATTTTTGATTATTTCACCGTATCCTAATTTGCAAGCTACTGAAGAATGGACAGGATGAACAAATGTAATCGGTAGATCTACAGCTGGCTCAGACTACAAATTGGTGCGTGAAGCACTAAATGAGATATGTTCATGTTCAATCTTCGGCTCAATATTCTTCAGCATGTTAACTAATGGCTTGGATGAAGTGATAGAAAAATGTTGATCATATTTTAAGGCAACTCAAAACTGGCTAGGATAGCTGATAGCATAGAAGCCAGAAATATGTCCCAAA